TACGAATAATTACAAGTTCATCGTCTGTGAGACGATTTCGCCACTGGGATGGTTGATGGACATCCGCCCTGCCAGAGTGCCAAACGGATGTATTTGTCTCTGGACGTTACGCCGATAACACGATCGGGATGAAGGTGGGAGAAACGACAATACAAATACAAATTGTCGGCATGTCTTTACTGAGTGGGTAGTTATCGGCTAATCGCAAATCCTCTCGCTGGCCGTGAGCTCTGCTCCATGCCGAGCCACGGCATTCAGATGGCACGGCAGTTGGCAGTGCGATGATTGTCAATTTGACCTCTGTTCAGTCCACTACACTGGGTTCAATTGTTTTTGCTTGTTTACTTTGACACAACCACTCTATAACTTTGACCCCCCGTCCAGTACGCTATGCTGTTGATATGTCGCGTTTGGTTTTCTCGACTTCCGTTGTTTTTCCGGAGCTCTCCGCTGTGTTTTCTCAGTCACGATATTTTTCCACGTTTTTTCTATAAACATTATTATTATTGTCCTCAATGGTGTTATCTGTGTATACTCGATTACACTACTTGCCTGATTTTGTCAGCTGTTTATTGTTTTGTTCCAATAACATTGTGGATTCGGTGCCTTTCTCTGCAGGCTTATCTGCGTGTTCTTCCACTATAATATTGTTTTTTATGCTCTTTCAACCCAGTGTTTATTTAACACAATTTTTCCAATAACAAAATAAATAAGCAGTGTCTCCTTCATACATCTATCTCTCCACATACAAAAAAAATATGTTAACGTATATCTCACGCATCCCATCATCCTTCTGGAAGTGCATAATTTCAACAGGATCGATTCAGGACGAGCAAAAGTCTTAACTGGTTTCGGCTTGCAGAGTCTCATCAGCAGTCGGGTTTGCTTGAATGATTCTGGTAAACTGCCGATCTTACTGGCAGAATTCATCAGCCTCTTTATTGGCTTTCCTAGACCAGCATTATCAAACGGCATTTGTTTAACAAGCTTGACTCCGCTGATGAGATCCAAAAGGTCAAAACCCGTTGATATTGTGTGCTTGCTTATAACAATATTGGTCTGCAAAGGCGAAAGGCTGATGGATTACAACACGATTTGTGTGTATCTATGTTGAACTCCTTTCGCGCCGTACAAAGTCAACCGTGCTCACGGAAGGTGCATGGGGACACTGAACTGCAGTTACGCTGATAATTCCCTGTCTTGGTTAAGATTGCATGCGTTAATAAATGACATCATCATCATTATTATTATTATCATATCTTGCGTATCTTTGCCTGCTTATAATAATACAATTCATAACGCGCGCAAATTTGCGGATGTAACGGCCGCAACTCAGATGCACGGAGTCAAACTCAGAGTCACTCGAAAGCGTGGTTGTAGAGGTGAGTTTTTAAGTGTCTCTTGAAGGAGACGCGTTGATGTGATGATGCCAATGTGCAGAGGGATAGCGTTCCAGACTGTTGGGGCTGCCACCGAGATAACTGTTGATAATGTTGATGGATTCAATAAGTTTCGATTTAAAGCTTCCGTGACTGCAGGGATTCATCTTCTTGGTTCTTTAGGTACGTGACTTTACCTAAAGAACCAAGAAGATGGATCCAATAAGCTCTCAGAAGAGGCCCCTTACACCACATTTACAGTCAATATGGAAGGTTTGATTTGCTTGAAAATCCTTTGTTTTGAAAGATCCTGTTCACATTCTTTTTTTCAATGCCACTGCGGCTGGGGCATCACAGCCTGGGTTATTGCATCACAATCCTGGATTCCTGCCAATGTCCCCACATGGCATTATATAACGGGACTCTGTTTTGTTGTGTGTGTGTGTCATGCAGTATTTTGTGTAATTAATTCTGTCCTTAATGCAGTTTTTTTTGGGTTAGATCGCATAATTATATAAATGTGTCGTTAAACCCGCCACCACCCGACACAGCCGATTAGTAAGGTTTGTCACGTAAACAGAACGTGCCAATTCGTCACTAGTACAGCACACCGGTGTGTTGGAGAGCCAAGCCACAACATTTACAAACTGAGGACGACGTTTCGCCAATAATTACAACTAGCTTCATCAGGCTACACAGCAGGGAATATCAGCGTAACTCCAGTTCAGTGCCCCCATGCACCTCCGGTGGGCACGGTTGACTTTGTACAGCGCGAAAGGAGTTCAACATAGATACATAGATAGGTAGATGTGACCGATTGGCACGTTCTGTTTACGTGACAAACATTACTAATTGGCTGTGTCGGGTGGTTCCGAGTTTAACGACACATTTATACGTTTACGCGATTTAAAAAAAAAACATGTATTATGGATGGTATTGGTCGCGAAAGCCTACGTGTTAAATTAAATCAGTAATTATTCGGAGAGTGGCAGAATGTATTTCATGCAAAGAAGCAGCCTCTTGCTCATTAAGGGAACCTGTCTGGGGCTTGGATCTTCTTCAGTCCGGCCTGGGTTGCCCCGGTGGCCTGTATCCAAGGGTTAGAGATGTCTTATACCCACTGTGCATTCAATGTACATTGCATAACTCTTCCACGAGATTTACGGTACACATTTAACGTTGCTAATTGACGAATTTCCGTCTGACACATCCCGTTAGCAACGGGCACCTTTGCCCACACTTGCTCCCGCCCGCCGGCTCCTGGGGGATGGGGGCGATTTGGGGGGGGGGGGGATGGGGGTAGGGGGCAGTGTGTGTAGGGGGCAGGCGCGCGGTGTCATTGACGGTCAGTGCGCACGCAGTGACGACACACTGGTCTACAGTCAAAATGCTTTCCGAAATAAATGTGGTCCAACTTTGCGAATTCTGGGTCACCGAGAATGAAAATGATGCTTAAAATTATTGATTGGATCTAGTTTTCAAGATATGCTACTGGTTCCGTATGTACGACCCTTGACTTGGGAATGGCGGAGGATAAGTGAGTTATAAACGTTTACGGTTCGAGTCCAGTGGCCGCTACGATTATATTCGTAGCGGCCACTGGATTCGAACCGTAAACGTCTGCAGCAATCGACGAACGCGTTCCCACCGGGCTGCGTCAACGTCCCCACGAGGGCTGCGAGGGATGGCAACCACTTGGTGGGGGGAGGCCTTCATCCAGCAGTGGATTGATCATAGCTGATGATCATGATGGGTTTTATCCACCCGGTGCTCCGCTCATTGTCCTCACCGTCACTCCTCGGCCCTCCGTTGCTGTTGGAGGGCGACTGCTTCCAGCTGCCCAGAAGCGTCCTTCACGAGCCCCCTCCTCCGGCCCAAGACAAAGATCCCCCGTATAGCCTGAACAGACTTTTGGGGCAAGTGCTGTTAGCGAGCACTTATGAAGGCCGATACGGGGTTGGGTAGCCAGCACCACGCCCGGCTCCCGAGCCGCGATGTTTACACATAGCACCGGGTACTCATTTGAGGCTGAGTCGACCTAGGGAAGGCCCAGGACCGGTTCAGATAATCGCCACTGGCATTGGCCGTGTGCGGGAATCGAACTGGTGTGGTCTGGTTCAGAGAACAGCACGCTCACCGCTAACGTTCCCAAGCACTACACACACACAAACGCGCACAGATGTAACTCGATAAATCAGCGGCTAATCCTCGCCCCTGTCTCGCGGGCTGTAAATCGTCTGCAGCGAGCAGCCTGATCAGCCCCGCGTGTCTGAGCGGGCGGTTATGGATTGGCGATCTGAGCACCCAGGATGGGGTGATCTGAGCACCCAGGATGGGGCGATCTGAGCACCCAGGATGGGGCAACCTGAGCAGTGTGTTCCGTTCCGTTTGGCACCAACGCATACACGGAATAAGGGCAAAGATCTCCCCCTATAGTCTTAACAGACTGTTGGGGCAAGTGCTGTTAGCTGCCACCTATGAAGGCCGGCACGGCACACGAGGGGGTGGGTGGCCAGCACCACGCCCGGCCGCCTTTGTCTCGCACGTGGCGATGTTTACACACTGCACCAGGTTCTAATTTCCGGCTGAGTCGACCTACGGGAGGCCCATGATTCATTCAGGTAATCATCACTAGTGTTGGCCGTGAGTGGGAATCGAACTTGGGTCTAAGGGTTTTAAGCACAGCGCGCTAACTGTTGCACCACACACTCCCCACAATCTCACACATGCATCACACTCACACACATCAAAGATACAGTTCACCCATATAGCCTACACAGGATTATTGGGCAAATGCTGTTAGCGAGAACACACGCACGCATACGTGTCACGGTGGGGAGAAGCGCGCCACGGTGGTGAGATGTTAACTACCTCGCCTGGTATACAGGAGGTCGTGGGTTTGATCCCGAATCTGACGCCTGCTGTATATTTGGAGTTTGCGTGTCTCTCTCTCTCTCATCATCATCACGGTGGGTAGGAGATGTTAACTACCTCGCCTGGTATGCAGGAGGTCGTGGGTTCGATCCCGAACCTGACGCCTGCTGCTGTATATTTGGAGTTTATGTGTCTCCCTCCCTCACCGTGGTCGCGTGAATTTTTCTCCGCGTCCTCCGGTTTTTCCCCTCCACATTTATTTGTCTGCTATAAATTTTCACACGATAAGCCACTTCGTTGAGCTGTTATTTGTGGCCAGGTCGCTTCTAGAAAAGAGATATATCGCTCAGTGGGCCTTCCCTGGTAACAAAAACATAGTTACATTGTGTCACATGTGCACAAATCTGTCAAGCACACACGCATTATATCACGAGCACACACCTTGCTCAATTGCCTAGAATCCACCCGTCAACCAGATTAGGGGGGACATCTGTAGAAATGAAAGAGAAAGAAACGCGGTGAATGTACAGTGCATCATAATTGTAGGATATGTTGCCACTGAAAGGCAGATACAAAACTTATGCACTCCCAAAAGGAAGATTTGCGTGACGGATGAGAAGTGTAAAGACATACTTTGTTTTTTTTCTTCCTCCATGTCGTGGGATCGATGTGGGAAGAAGCAGGCATTGCGAACTGTTGCCGCGAACACCGATTTCGTTTCCGATTCTTTGTTTTATTTTTCAACAGGAACCATCGGTGCGCGGAGGAGCTCATCGAAGCCGCCACGAGACAGGGTCAACCCGGAGAGCGTCTGGGTGCTGCCACCTTGCGAGGACCTCGAGACCAGAGGTCGCAAACGGGTTTTGTTTCCTTACCGTACCCGGCCGCACCAGGGTCGCAAATGGGTACTCGTACTCGGCCGCACCAGGGTCGCAAACGGCTACCCGTACCCGTACCCGGCCGGGTACGGGTATCGGGTACCCGGTGGCGACCTCTGCTCGAGATTCCTCTTGAAGGCCCCGTGCGATGCCTCCACCACCACCACCACCACGGGCAGCCTGCCTACTCCTCCAGCAGCTCACCCACCAACCCCACCACCTTTAACAACAACACCACCGCCCATACCAACCACATCACCACCAACAAACTCACAACCACTCTCACAACTCCTGTCAACCCCGCCTACCCCTACCAATACCACAACCCTTGCCAACTCCACCACCCCTACCAATACCACCACCCGTAGCAACACCGCTACCACTTCCATCCCCACCACCCCTACGATCATCACCACCCTCACCAACACCATCACCACAGCCCCCCCCCCCTACTAACATGACCTCCCCTGCCACCCAGTGGCGGCTGGTGATATTTATTTTTGGGGGGGCGCATTTTTTTTATTTTATTGAGGGGGGCAAATAAATATAAAGCAGTACCAAAAACCATTTTGACTACTTTAATATAAATTTTGATGATCTTTATTTACATTTCAGACCAAAAGAAGTACCAAAAAGTATGTTTCCTACTTGAACATAAATGTTTCTCTTTTATATACATTTCAGACCAAAGTACCAAAAAGCATGTTTCCTACTTGAACATAAATGTTTCTCTTTTATATACATTTCAGACCAAAGTACCAAAAAGCATGTTTCCTACTTGAACATAAATGTTTCTCTTTTATATACATTTCAGACCAAAGTACCAAAAAGCATGTTTCCTACTTGAACATAAATGTTTCTCTTTTATATACATTTCAGACCCAAGTACCAAAAAGCATGTTTCCTACTTGAACATAAAAACGTTAGTTTCATGCTATTATCAATATGGCTGCGGCTACTTTCATGACGTTTGCATTTGTCAGAGAGATGTTTGAGGTCTCTTACCCCCGTCGTTGTCCACAAAACTTCAGTGCCGACACTTTGAAATAAAAGACAGGGAAAACAAAAAAGAGAATTGCTAACATCACATCCAGCCAGCCACCTCCGTTTCTCATAACAAGCGCGGGTGAAGCTTCGTGTGTAGCTTCGTCCTCTGTCACTGGCCTGCTGCTGGATTTGTAAATCGGGTTGGTCCGGTCCGAGATCCTTTATCTTTTTTATTTCTTCCAGCGAAAGCCTTGTGAAAGGGTTTTTTTGTAAATAAATTACAGAATTTGGATGAACTGCTGCCATTGTTTACACAAAAAATTTGATCAGCCTAGCAAGTGTCAAAGTGGTGTCGCCTGCGCACTCGCAGTAGTGGCCCAGAGCGTAAATTTGAATGACAGGTGACGAGAACCAATCAGATTGGATAAAATAACATGTATCCAATTCTGATTGGCCAGGGACGCAACGACTTGCGCCCCGAAGAGAATCTTTAAGAAACCAATTAGAGACCAGCTTCAGGTCACATGCTGTCCGAAAATTTAAAGTCTCACATAGACATCCATTTGTCCGGCGCCCCGCATGAAACACATTGAAAAACATAGAAAATAGTTGACCGATTAAAGCCAGTTTTTATTAAATGCTGATGCATTTCTTACTACCAGCCGGCACCTCGTATGAAAAAAATATTTTATTTATGTATTTTTATATAAATTTTGTTAATGTATATTTCTTGAATATTGATGGGGGCTGCGCCCCTGCGCCCTCTATTGACGAGCCGCCACTGCTGCCACCCCTCCTGCCAACCCCAGCACCCCTACAAACTCCACCAACCCTACCAGGTTCAACACCCCCAATAACATCACCACACACACCAACACCAACATCACCACACTCACCAATACCACCACACCCACCAACACCAACATCACCACACACACCAACATCACTACACTCACCAACATCACCACATCCACCAACACCAACATCACCACACACACCAACACCAACATCATCACACACACCAACACCAACATCACCACACACACCAACACCAACATCACCACACTCACCAACACCAACACCACCACACACACCAACACCAACATCACCACACACACCAACACCAACATCACCACACTCACCAACACCAACATCACCACACTCACTAACACCAACATCACCACACACACCAACACCAACATCACCACACTCACCAACACCAACATCACCACACACACCAACACCAACATCACCACACACACCAACACCAACATCACCACACTCACCAACACCACCACACTCACCAACACCAACATCACCACACACACCAACACCACCACCACCCTCCCCCAACACGCACACTCCTAACCACACCTAGGTAGCGACCGCGCAAGGCAGCCACTCAACCCCCCCCCCCTCTTCCCCCCCTCCCCCCAGGGTCCCTATAGACAGCAGAGGCAGGTAGCTCTTGAGAGCCCCTCCTAGCAACAACACCCCTACCGACACCACCACCACCCCTATCAACAAAAACAAAGATCCCCCATATAGCCTTAACAGCCTGTTGGAGGAAGTTAGTGAGGGGCCTGTAGCATATGCTTCCAGGGACCCTAAATAAATAAAAAACCGCAAATATTAAAATACACATTTTAAACTAGAATAGTAAAGTCATTGTATTTGTTCATGTGCTTTACAGGCAGATAATACGACAAATCGCTAACCTTAAACACCCAGTCGTTCGTAAAAGTTTAAGGCAGTATAGTACTATAGTAATAGAGCAAGTGCAGAATCACTTTTACTTCCAGGATAATCCGGCACTGGCGGGGCACGTGTGCCTGATGGAGGAGGAGGAGGGCAGGTCACCGAAATATGATTAAAGAGTCGAATGTCTAAGTCAGGGGTCGGCAGCCTGCCGCTCTGGATCCGCATGCGGCTCTTAAAGGACCGCTTCGTGACCCGTTATTTTATTAAGGACCGACCGTCTCGTATTCACCGCACGCAGTGCATTGCGGCTCTTGAAAAATGTAGATTTTTTAAAACCAAATTCTAAAGAAATGTCTCATCTTGTTACTTTGCTTGCCGACCAACTGCTCTAAGTGCAGCCCCTGCGATCGCTTGCTCACGCCATTGCTGGCTTGAAGGTTTCGAAGTCTGGGGGGGTATTTGTTTCAAGTTTGTTTGGGGTCGGTGGCTGTCGCTCTCGAGTGTGCAGGCGGTTCAACTGCACCGCGGGGCCCACGGGCTTGTGCAACACTGCAAACACGGCATCGCCAAATAAACGGTTGTTCGTTAGGGGGCACTGGACCCCGCCCCCCATTCCCCTCCTTCCTCCACCGCAGTGTTATTAACAAAGGGGGGGGGGCAGCACAGGTTGCAAACCACGGAACCCCCCCCCCCCCCTCCACGCTACAACCGGCAACGAGCGCGCAACCAGCTCGACCCGCGTTGCTCCGGTTGGCGCCTTGCGCCAGCAGGGAGTTGCGCCAGACCCCCGGGGTCGCTCGGGGCGGGTGGCCCCCTCTCGTCTGCGAGCGTGCTGGCGGGCACACAGTGAGCCCACTCAATGCCGCGCGAAGTGCCACGGGGGGGGGGGGGGGGGGATTGGAATTAGTGCTCGCCTTTGTGTGCGCGCGCGCGCGTGCGTGGGCCGCGCTAATCGCCCGCAAGATGTGGCGTCAAACAGCCCCGGGGCTTGGCCAACCAAACGCGACATGCAAAGAAGGTTGGTTTTGTGACTGTTTCGCGAGTCCTTGGCCCCCCCACCCCCCAGTGCAGACATTTCACTTGTCGGTGCCACACTGAGGTGGGCAAGGCTTTGAGCAGCTCCGATTTCTTAATGTGGCACAACAGCGGCGAATGATGGGCTAACCGCGCGGGAAGAGTGGGGTTTATCAAGTGATCCACTCGCATTGCTCTGGCTGTGTGTGGCTGGATGGAGTGACATATCACCGTGTTTTGTACGATTATTTTTGGCCGATGTTTTGCAAGAATTTTTGTCCATTATTTTAAATCGATTATTATTTTCTGTCGAGATTCGGCGGCTGTGATTTGATTCGATGATCGATGTCGTTGTTTTCGGATGACCATTTGCATTGCCCGAATACGTTATCCATGGTGCAACTTTTTTTTTTCTCTCGAAGATAACAAAAAATAAAATCCATTCAGTGGCAGTGTTTTTGAAGGACGCGTTTAGTTTTCATCGGCTTGCGCTTGTACACCGCTGCCAATACAGCGGTATCATGTTATTTTAGGAACCAATGTTGCGCAGTTAGTTGCGGTCAAAGATAATTTATCGGACAAGTTGCCGAATCATTGATTCTCGCTTGCACGTCTGGATGCTTGTATCGTGAGCACTCGGCACGCGCCTCGAGTCCCCTGGGAGGCACGCATCACGTGTCACTCACGTCGACGTTGTGATGGGTGCAGTTGCTCACTGTGCGCAAGAAAATTAAGGCATTCCGCCAAATGCCACATTTAGCTTGCTCACAAAGTACCCTCGGGCAATGAATCCATGACAACATTTAATTAAGGGGGTAATTAATTGTTACTCTTTGAGTCTTTCGGAAAAGTCACGTAGATAGAAAAATAATAAAATAATAGAGCGCTATATATCCTGCTTCCTCAGCAGTCCGCCTGCTGTATTTTTCACCTGAAGACGATTGTTCGTGTTGCGATCGAAACGCCGTGATTTATTATTATTTATTATTATTATTTCTATCTACGTGACTTTACCGAAAGACCCAAAGAAAAGAGTATGAATTCCTGCAGTCACGAAAGCTTCGAGTCAAGGTAATGAATTGGTTGCCGTGAGTGTCGAGTGAGTACACCGGTCATCCTTTCAGCTGCAACGGCTTTGGGCTTGACCATCGAACACAGACGGTCACTGCAACGCGCGCTTTCAGATGCACTACTACTGCGGCCGTCTGGAACGCTCTTCCTTCCGACATTAAGACGCCACTGGAGCCATACACTTTTAAATCTAGACTTAAAACTCATTTCTTCAGAGCTGTTTTTTTCTGTTTAGATTGTTGTCCTTCCCTCGCACCTCCGACAAGCACGGTTGGCTACGTACGGTGCGAACGAAGTTCAAGATACATACCTGGTGCGGCGTGATGGAAATAGGATCGCCGGGTTCATATTACAGCGCGTTAACCATTACGCCACCGTCCCCATGGCTGACATTTAGTGGCGAGCTGTACCTGAATCGATTGATATTTGCCCCCCCCCCACGCTGACTGACCAGCGTGGTGAAGTATGGTCAATGACTGAAGAAACGCGCGTGTGGCCTTTGCCTCAAATCGGTATCTGGTGCAGCGTGTAAACATGAGCACTGGGGGGACAAAGACGGCCGGGCGTGGTGCTGTCCAACCACCCCTTCATGTGGCTTTCCAGCCTTAACAGGTGCTCGCATACAGCACTTGCCCCAACAATAATGTTAAAGGCTATACGGGGGAGCTTTGTCTATTTTCTTTTTTCGTGGCGAGAGCCGCAACGCTCAGGCTCAGCGCTCGCTGATCGAGGCCGCATTGACAACAGCCGCACCTGTGCCACTCACCCACCGTGGTGCCCAACCCTGCCCCGCGTGGCTTCTTTAAATAAAAAGTAAGATGTTGAATAAGGGGCCGTCCATAAATGACGTCACGCGATTTTGGACGATTTTTGACCCCCCCCCCCATTCGTCACACGGCGTCACACAAAGTCAACCCCCCTCAAATATGACGTCACAAAGCTTTGCCCCCCCCCCCAAAACCATAAACATGCTTCAAATCGCTTTAAACTATTGTCATTGTAGTGCCTATTTAATGTGGCGCTGCACTCTGATGTTGTAGGAGAAAACATTTATTTAAAAAGTCTATTTAATTAAGTAGAACGTGTTGTCTATATTTATTTAAAGTTGCGCATATTTACGTGACGTTACATTTCTCTACCCCCCCCCCTCGTCACACATCGTTACAAATGTCTGACCCCGCCCCCCCACCCCAGATGCGTGACGTCATTTATGGACGGCCCTTAATCCACGTACGTGTGTCCCGTCTGTCCCCGTGCCCGTTCTGCCCACGCGTTCACATCAATCGAGGGCGTCACAACGCTGCTGTTGGTGTTACGCGTTATATCGCATGCACTGTTATGCAACCAGGTCCCCCCGTGTCCAACATCGAGGGCCCATGCCTCTAGGCATCTGGAAAGTTCAGCAATCGGGTTAAGCAAGCACGCCTTGGCTGACGAGACCCCGAAGGTCCATAACCCGTCCGCAGTTTGCTTGTAACAACGCAGCTGTCAACATTCACTCCCAGGAGGCTTGTGGGACGTTTATCCGACACGTGGAGGGACGGATATTGGAAAGAAAAATGTGTTTAAATATTCTCCGCAAGAACGCGAATACGAGTTTTGTTATGCACCTCCGAATAACACGGTTGACTACGTACGGTGCGAAAGAAGTCCAACATACATCACAACAGCTGGAGCTGTACGTGTACATACCACGTGCAGCCCTCCCCTCAATCCACTGCTGGATGAAGGCCTTCCTACACCGCACGAGTGAGTGAGGCCGGGTGAGTGATACTAGGTGAGTGATTAATGCTTGTTGGTGAGTGATGTTAGGTGAGGCTGGGTGAGTGAATGATGCTGGGTGAGCGA